CTCCCTCCCTCCCTCCCTCCCTAACCCCAACAAACGTCTGTTGTATTATTTCCAAACCTGTTTGAGTAACTAAATAGCATTCAGTTAATATTCAATACTGTCAGTAACTTGGGTGTTGTTTGCTCGCCTCCCTTTTGATGTTATTAGTTTTTATTTTCATTTAATGAAGAATCATTGGAGCCTAACAAATGTGTCTGTGAGAGACTGCTGCTGTGAATGCTGATAAAGGGATAAAGTGCAGCATTGCTCCATCAAGTGGGCTTTATGTTGGGGGATTATTTAATACATGTTGCAGACAGATCTCAGATTTCTATCAAAGACAAAACATTAACCAATAAGTTGAAAGCACACGCTTTCCATCTATTTCGGGCTAATTTGATTAAAGGAACTTGCACATTAGTGCTGGGTGATAAAATTCACAGAGCCTAGTGTGTCATGTTCAAATCTCTCTTTTTTTTCTTCTGAACCACAATGAGAAACCAAAAGATTCAATAATAAGCAGCAAGTTATCACAGTGGAGCAGCTGTAAGTAGAGACTGTTTTTTACTGACTGTTCTGTCAACTGATTAATGATCGTTTCAACTCTGAATGCTATCATGTAGCAGATTTGTTTGAGAAGAAAGAGCCAGGTGGGACAAGATGCTGTCATGACTGCTCATGATTTGCTTAGAAAAGGTTGGTGGACACATTGAAGTGGTTATAAATATATTTAAGATTTACAACGTATTGTATGAGTGTTTGTCCACAAGGATTACATGCAGCCAGTACAGCCAGTTTAGCAGCTATTTTTTNNATTTAAGGGTTTATTTCAACCAAACCAGAGCTGGTGATTGTTGTCAGAACAATAGAAAGACTAAAAAAAGACAATTTTTGGTGAACTGGGAGGTAAAATGTATGTTTTTGTCAATGGAGTCTGGGGAATCGCAGCAGTTGCGCATTTGTTTTTGTCTTAGATGCTTTTGTTCAGATTTTCTTTTTAAAAGGTAGTTGTTGTTTTTTTCTTGTGTTGAGAAATCAAAATGAAAAGAATAGTAAAAAAAAAACATTTTGCCTTAGGAATGATTTCTTTTAAACAAATTATGAATAACTTGAAATGTTTCTTGCTGTCTAATGTGCCTGTTGTGTTTGGTTTTTAAGATTTAATGTAAGATTTACAATAAGAAAGCAGTAATACAATGCAACCCATGTACAGAGGCTGAGTCCTTACTGCCGTAGCCTCTCTCTCCTGTACCTCGCCTGTCTCTCTTCAACTGTTGCTGTCCAATGAAGGTGTAAAATAATAATAATAATAATAATAATAATAACTAAGAATGATTTAGAAAGCTGCAACAAAAGCTGCTTTTGTGCACAGCAGAAATTCTGTATTACATCTCTAATTTTTCACAATAAGAATATTGATTAAATTTTGTGAACACCTAAGAACAAATTCCAAAGAATCTCATGTAATGCTATTACCTATAAATAAAATGTGAACCTTTTGTTAAAGCAGAATAAGAATACTCTTTTTTTACACACAGTATAAAGCTGAGCCTCGTAGCAGAGTCAACATTTAGTTGTTGATGCAGAAATTAAAGTGAAGATTGGAAAAGCAGTGAGATTGATCACAGTTCATCGTGTACATCATAACTCCGTTGCCATGTAACAGTTTTCCTCAACACACAAAGCATTAATTGAACAAATTAATTGCTCTGGCAATTATTCAAATTTGTTCAGCTCTTTGCCACCTTGTATGTGAAATATTTATTCTGTGATTTGAGTACTTTAGTTGTCTAAACAGCCTATGATGTCTGTTTGGTTCTGTACTGGGTTTCTGTGATTTGTGATTGTTTGTGGTGCAGTGACCCACTATAGTGTCTTCCAATCACTGATTAGATACAGTAGTTTTCTACTCTTTTGTACAGCTCAGGCAGGGTAAGCTGAACTCAGGAGATCATGTAATTGTAGTAATTGTTGAAGTGTCTCCTCAACTGACGTGCACTTTGCTGTACTCCTAGAACTTTCTCACCAAGATGAATTATTTATTTTATGAAACTCTGCAGTACCAATATGTTGAATATATTTCCTCCCTTCATAAACAAAAGCTTATTCTAAACCTGTATTGTGCACGTCGGCTTGCAGTCGTCTCTCTCCTCTTTTATTGGTGCGATGCTCCCTTATGGTGCATTAGCATCCCCACCTGTTGATATACATTACTGCCCACTGCAGTCAGCCGAAAACTGTATTACATCCCACACATGCCCACTGCGCGCATGTGCTTCCTTGAGAGTGCGCCGGTAGCCCGCGCTCCATTTGGTAACGCAGCCATACCACCTGGTATGCAGTGGCAATGTGCGAGGAAAGGAAGCGATGTATGAGGTGGCAAGTTTGAAAGTCGCTCTCTGTCAGCTGGTAATGAAACAGTAGCAGGCGGTGGAGACGCTGTTGTAAACGTTTATTTCGTCTTTTCGCGGCTTTTAAATTGGCACTCAGCCTGTGATGTGAACAGTTATTTGAAGCTCTGGAGGGAGCTTTGTCTAGTCTGAGAAAATCACTTCAGTTTGGGTTATACATTTATGACAGAAACGCTGAATTGTAAGCTGGTGAAGGCCAAGTTTGAAAGACAGGGCTATGTACCAGCCAGGGAAGGTTGAATGAATGAAGCTATTCAGTTGAATTATGGGAAATTAGTGAGCAGTATTTTTGAAGTTTGACAAACATTCAGCATCTGTCAAGTTCGGCTGCCTCAATTTTGACAGTTTAAGAAAAAAATCCAACTTAATGGAAATGCAGTACTGCTTGAGTACCCCTTTAAGTGTTGGCATGCAGTGCAGAGAACTTTTTACATTCAGCAGTAACTAATAAGCCCTTGTGGAATATGTATTTACACAGGATAATGAGACTTCACTACTTCCTGACCTTCAGTATTTTTTGTGTTTATCTTTCAGCTTGCAACCGTCCACAGGTTGTTAACCGCTGATCCCTTGCTGGTGCACTGCTGCGATGAGGACGGTTACACTCCACTGCACCGCGCGGCATACAGCGGCCACGTCGATGTGGTTTCTGCTTTACTCGCCGCCGGGTCGAAGGTTAACCCTCGTACCATCGACGGCTGGACGCCCCTCCACAGCGCCTGCCGCTGGAGCCGTGTCACTGTGGCGAGTCTTCTCCTGCGACACGGAGCCGAACTGAATGCCCAGACCAACGGTGGGCTCACGCCACTACACCTGGCCGCTTCCCACTCCAGCTCCGTAAGAACAGACTCCGCTCACACGCTAGAGCTCCTCTTCTCCCAGCGACGCCTGGAGCCAGGGCTTCGCAGCAACAGCGGGGAGACGGCCAGTGAGGTGGCCCGACGTAGTGGCCCACATCACTTCCTGTTTGAGATGGTAGAAGACTGTGTAAATGTGGTACCGATGTTATGAGCTGTGTTAATGTTTGTGTGTCTCAAGGTAATGCGTGCTTCCTACTGAAGCATCATAACAATCAGTTAATAATTATTGATTCTTGAAAATCAGAAGTGGAAGAATGAAAGACACTTGTTTCTGAGGTTGTTTGGTACGTACAGTTTATCCAGAGCTTAAATAGCTCTTTCAATGCAAAAAGTCTATTTGTTTGTTTTATATTGTTAAAGTCTTCTGATTCAAATCCAGCCTCTTAACACATTACATTTTCATCTGTCATGTTGCAGGACTTTAACTAGACCTGGAGCCAAGGTTTCTTCATTTATTTTCTTCTTCCCTCTGTAGGAATCACTGTGGTTTTCTGTAATTGGCAGCTACTGTGCAGTCTCTTCACAGATGACTATGTAACGATCTTTGTATGTCTCTCTTTGAGTCCAATGAGGCACTTGAGCCAGAGGATGTGCAACATATGCAGCATGTACACACATTAAGTACCTTTCCGAAGGGCTCGCAGATGTAATGTGATGGATTTATTTTTTGTCTGTCACTCCTATTGGAGTTACTAAAAGGAATTTTTATTAATTAAGAACTCATTGTCCTCACAAGAATGACACAAGGATTATATATATTCAATTATAACACATGTTGCAGAAGTCCGTGAGGTTGAACTGAGGTTAGAATCCGCAGAAGGCAGCTGTATAAAACATCTGATTAGTAAGAAGTAAACATTTGAGTTTTGCTGAGGTGTGTGTGTGTGTGTTACAAAGTAAAACTGGTGCCACAGCAAAGAGAACATTGTTATTGTTTTACTGCATTTCAGTGTATTATATGTTAGTAATGTGGGCAGTCTCTATTATAACAACAGTTTAGGATCCTCCTTATAAGTGGACCAAGTTTCAGAGCTTGTCCTTAGTCTGAGGTTAGACAATCTTTACATATAGAATCTGTAAAGAAACATATCTGTACACATCACACTACAGTTTTTCTTAATTTCAGTGGCATAGCCAGTGTTTTTTATATCCTCGGTCACAGTGAGTGTGCTAGTCTACAGAAGGCTGATGATGTCAATAGGTCTACTGTATGAGAAGTGGCTTATTATGACTGTCAGTAGTTTAAATCCTGAAATAAAATAATAATTTTATTAATTGATTATCACAATAATGATCTTTGACCTTTTTCACTTAAATAAGATCTGACTTGGAATGTTGTCAAATGAAATGAATAATGTGGTTTTGAGTCAGTGTGCAGGCGTTACCCTGGTAATAAGAAGTCTAGATATACAGGTAACTATGATATTTTTCAGCTGGGCACTAACTCACAAAACCTTCTGAGAACATTATTGGTGTTTAAGACAGTAAGTACTGGTTTGTTGGTGCCCACAGGTGCAGAGCACAAGGATACTCTTGAAAAACTTAATTTGAGGCTGATCTTCATCACTCAATCTCTCTCATTGTCTTTTTGTCAGGGTAACATTTACATTTAAATTAGAGCACAAACTGTTGTGCCACAATGTCAAAGGACATTGTGGTCTCAATAGGTGAGTACTGAGTGACCTGGCTTTCTATTCCTAGGCTCTTACAGAGGACAGCACATACATGAAAATCAAGAGAGAACGAAGGCAAAAATAATATTTTTTATGTTTTTGAGTTGCTCTTTTCCGGAAGCGTAGGGTTTTTGAGAAGCAGTCTATTGTGACTTAACTCAAAATGCAGCAGTGAAGGAAGTATTCAGATCCTTTACTAAAAAGGTTATATATATGAAATACACTTGGCACTGTATATCGAGAGCAGTCGCATCAGACCAAAACAATGGGACGGAAATATAATAAATGAGTGCTTTTGTCTTCAAAAAGTGCTTGTTTTTGCCACTGACAGGCTCAGATTGTTATACTGAAATGTCTGAAAACATTAAGGAAAGAATCCCCACAGAGACAGACCTTTTGTTTAACCAGAAACAGCTGTCACTATTATATTATATCATTAGATCAGTGTTTCTCAGACTTTTTACAGCATGTACCACCTCAGAAAATATTTGGCTCTCTAAGTACCATCATTATGATGGACGTTACAGCAGCGTAGGCGTAGGCCATATTCAATTTTGGACGGTTCACACAAGAGGCAATTTTATTCCTAATAAGATTATTTATTGTTGACTGTTCTTGAATGTTGATTGGAACCGGTTCAGGAACCAGAACTCATTTGGTGGAAAAGGGGGTTCTCCTGACCCACACTTTCCCAATGGCCAACATTTGGAGTGTTTTCCACCATTCATTTCACCTCCGCTTACTAACCTGCCATCACATTTTAGCTCGTAACTAATGATGGATGTATGCACACGCTACGTTCATGAATGTGACTTCATAGGAGGCTGATATTGAAACAAATATTACAGGAAATGCTAAACTTACAGTTCAATAATCTCATAGTTTGACTGTTTTCGTTTTAAAGTTGTAGTATTTTCACAGTGTATGTTTTTAAATTAATTTATTTCATTTTTCAAACCAAATTAAAGTTAATGTATTTATAGTGTTACATTGCACCACCTATATAAATCAGTACCGGCTGGCGGTGCAGAACAACTTCAAAAAACAAAAAGCTTTTTTTTGTAAAAGGAAATAACAAAAGGTCATACTTTAGCATTTAAAGTGATAAAATTATAGAGTAAAGACATCGCTGCATGCAGGAAGTATTTACCCTGCGAGGGAGTTTCACACTCTTTTCTTTCTTCCAGAGTTAATGCCAGAGACAAATTAGCAGGAAGCGCCTGCTGTGCAGCCACAGGCTTCCTCAGTTGTGATGTAACTGAGGTTAATGTAATTTTATTACTGTAAGTGAATGAAACAGCACAGAGTTATGAGGCTTTAAGACAATACAGAGCACATGCAGTAATAATACAAGTGTAATGTTTTTGTATTACACATTGTTGAACATTTTGTTGACATGCATTTGAGACAAATGAGGGGAGTACCAACAGGGTAGACTCACGAGAAGACTACCAACAGGTTAATGCTTTTGTTTTTCAGTTCCCATTGTCTCCTAGTCATTTTCTAGAAAATGAAACCAATTCTTGGGAAGGGTTTCCTGCAAATGACTAATCTCTCAAATTGCTACTAAGGGAAGGTGGAGTTAATGTTTCCATTTAAAAAAAGGCATTTTCTTAGTTGTAGATTATGTTAATAAATATGGTGAGTAGAATTCCCTACAAGTAAATCTATATTTTTATATTTGTTCTTTCAAGGAAATTCCTGTGGATGGATGAATAATTTTTAACATATCAGATTCTCTTAAAAACTCACCTCATTTTTGTTAGTGTTGTCTTGTTATCATTGCCTCTGCTTCCTTATAATTAGTACCAAAGTAAATATAAATTTAAAAAATAGTAAGCAATTATAGGACTTCTGTAAATAAAAGGTTACAGAAAACAGCTCAGGACTTCTAATAGCTTAATTCAGGTATTATCAGATTATTTTATATTGTCTAGGCTTGTTCTGATTGTGTACTTTTTTTTTTAAATTTCACTGGAAAATAGAGCTTGTGGAGTTAAATAGTGACTGTAAAGTGAATACAGTTTTAGCAAGTTAAAGTGAAAAGTTACATAGAAGTTTCTGTCATGGCTGGTATGAGTGCTGCACCAGGGGTTGGACCCAAATGCATGATGACAAAAGGCAATTGCAGTTCAATGATTTATTACAAAATAATGTCAAAGGCTTACAGGACCATCGGGCAGACAAGAGTCAAAGCCAGACAGGCAGTCAAGAACAAGCTAATTAGTCCAACAAGGAGTATGCATGGACCCCAAGTCCAAATAATCAGCCAGAAGGGCAAGCAGGTACAAGTGACAGGGTCCAAAGTAACAGGCAACAGAAATCAATATGGCCGGATATAACCGAGCAACAAAGGACAATCTGGCAATCATGAAAAAGGGTTGCTACAGACTGACGAGGGAAAGAGAAAACAGGTGAGCAGGGAAAGTCAGGTAATTGCAGGGCTGATGAGAGAAGTGGGACCAGGTGTGTAAAAGAAGGGACTGGCTTAGGGAAGCAACAGACAGAAGCTGCATTTCTTTAATACTTCCACTTCTCCTCAGTCCCACTGAGGCCACTTAGAAAGCACAGGGAAAGTGTCTGATGGAGCTACCGGGGGATTTAAATGAAGCCCACCTGCCCTTGTACACTTTCAGTCCAAACTATCATGGATTGACTGCCATTTGTGAGCAACACAGATGAAAATTGCACTGTAGCCTACTGCCCAGTGTACAGTGAGGCAGCCATACATCCACCAACAATGGCTGTTCAGCACAAGGTCAGAACTGTTGAATTTTACTTGTAAAATTACAATTTGATTCAAAGGTATGAGTTGTATAATATTGTTGAAAAGATACATAGGCCTAACATGTCTGGTATTAATCACTGGACAATTATCTGTGCATCATTTCCTGCCTGATATGAAGGTTATGTTCAGCTCAGACACGTAACTCCTGATTATACTCTTATATAGCGCTGACATTTTATTCTCATAATTTCTTTAAGGTAATAATTACTGAGGTGATCTCATAGTTGGCTATTCGGCCATGTTTATTTTACATGCATTGTATCACCTAACCATTGCACCGCATGCATAACTGCAATGCATTGTGTGTGCTCTGGATTGACCATCGTTGTTGACTTGCTTCCTCGGCCCCCTCAGGGTTAAACTCACCAAGTTCACTTCAGTTTTTCAGACAAATGGAACATTCATGATGGTGGCTGGGCAAGTGTCGAGGGGATGAGGGCTTGTTGAACAACCATCAAAACGCAGAGAGTGACAGTTCCTGGTTAGTCTGATTTTGTCTCTTGTGGCTTCTCCAATATAATTTAGAATTCAGAGAGGAAAGCCAGCCTGCAGGTGGATGACCTGAGGCTTTCATAAGAGTGTCAGATTTTGAGTGAACTTCAGCTTCGACTGGGCTGTTTTGTTCTCTCTGCAATTAAATTAGCTTATTCCACCTTTTCATGTCGTACTGTGACATCTAGAGTAATGTGATAAGATTAGTTGCAAACAGTTTTAAATTGGAGCAGATGTTGATTCAAAAATATAAATACCCCAGATGATTCAGTAGCTGCAGGCAGTGAGGAGAGAGGTAGCTTCAAGTCTTCAAGTACCCTTTCAGATAGGGCCTGGGGGAGATGCACTCTATATGTGAAATGAATGCGAAAAATGTATCCAGCTCTTTGAAAATAGTCTTTTTGTAGTTTTTCTACCCAGAGTTTACAACAATGCAGATACACTGACAGAAGAGCACAGACATTATTCTCTGATCAACATGTGCAAGATTCAAAAGGTTTTAGGTCAGATACGTGTTTATGTGTCTTAGCACAAGTTGTACATTTGGACTGTAAATTTAGTATCCTTTTTATGTAAGCTGCTTCTGCTGGTTACCAGGTAACAGCAGCTTTTTCTTCCCTCCATCTTCTCCTTGGGTAAATGTGCTTTTAAATAGTTGGAGTTCTGGACATACTGCAGTGAGACAACGCTTTACAGCACTCTTATGTAGTGTACAACAACCAGTACCTTAGGAGTCCTTTATGTAAATGATGCATGGTAGGGTGCTATTTGTCTGTCTGTCTGTC